TAATTTCCATAGTTCTATTTTCAAGTTTACTAATTCTTTCCTCTATCTTTCCCATTTTGTTGTTGAGCCCATCCATTGAATTTTTGAATTTTTTTCAGTTATTGTATTTTTCATGTTCTAAAATTTCCATTTGGTTTTTCTTATATCTTCTATCTCTTTGCAGAGACTTTTTTTGTTGTTGTTGAAATTGCTCATTGCATTTTAATGATGGTCACTTCAAAATCCTTATAATTCTAACATCTGTGTCATCTTGGTTTTGGTTGGTTGTCTTTTCTCATTCAAAATCTTTTTGGTTTTTGGTATGACAAGTGATTTTTCAATTGAAAACCTGGTCATTTTGGGTTTTATGAGACTCTGGAATCTATTTAAATCCTGTGTTTTAGCAGACCACCTCTGATACTGCTTCAGTGGGGTAAAGGGGGTACTACCTCATTACAGCCTGGTGGGGATGGAAGTCCAGGTTCTCCTCTCTGCCACTGTTGACATCTGGGCAGAAGGGGCTCCTTGTTATTGCTAGTGTTGGAGTCCAGCCTAGACTGTAGACATCTGCTGATATAATCCTTGTTTGGAGGTAGAACAGAATCTTGTTACTCCTCCTGTGTCCTCTATTGACACTCTGGGGGTGGGGAGGTAGTTGTGTATATATGTGGCCTCAGTTTTGGTGAGCAGTGGTCACTAGGTTTCCTCTGACACCACTCAATGGGGAGATGAGAAGTGAGTCTCGTTATTCTCTGGTTGAGGTAGAAGTCCAGTTTTCCCATGTGTTCTTCACTCACACTGCTGGGGAGAGGACCTCTTTACCACCCAGCCAGGGGGAGGACAGATTAGGGTGAATCATTACAACCTGAATAGGATGGAAGTCTGGGCTCTCCAACTGGTCTTTGCTGGTGGAGTGGGGTCTCAGCTTTTTCTGTGGTGTTTGTCTAGAGTTATTATATAAAGTTTTCTGTCTTGTTAGGTTACCCCCTTCCTTGTGTTTTGGCTAGAAAGTTGGCTTCTCTTGGGCTTTTTTTGGTCTTAGTATTTCTGGGTTGTCAGCTTCTCCAATAAGTTTGGGATATATCAGACAATAAGAAAACCTAGTCAACTCATCACTGTACTGTTTTTTGGTTTCTAAGGTCCCTGGCCAGTCTGTCTTCCCTTCTCCACCTTTCAGAAAATTGTTTGTTTTATGTATGATGTCCAGGGTTTTTAGCTGTACTTAGTGTAAGAAGTAGGGAAAAGTATATCTATTCCATCGTTTGGAATCAAAAGTCCCTTCCCTGTTATTTTGATATATGTGTGTATGATATGTTGGTCCAGCCTTTTAGAAATATACTTACATATGAAATATATCTGGCATGAATTTCAAAAGAATTTGGGGTGGGTAGTGGGTAGGAATATAAAAACAATGAGACTTGCCATGAATTGATAGTTGTTGAAGATAGGTGATGGGTAAATTGAGGTTCATTATTCTATTCTTTTTTTTAATGTCTGAAATTCTCCTTAAAAAGAAAACCATTTCCTGACCTCCCAGTTTAGGTCATATTATAGGCTCATAATAATCACCATTTTATCTATAGGCATTGTGTTCCACCCTACAGTATAAACTTGATAGCAGGGATCCTATTAAGAAAGCCTAATTATAACTCGAGAGCCTAAAAGTGACTGGCATATAGTTCATACTCAAATTATCAAGTTTCCTCACAAATAAAGATTCCACAGATTGTAAAATATACCTTTATGTGCCATTAAGGAAAATTATGACACTATCAATTTTTAGAAATATTTTGATTTCAGAAATGCTATATTGTGAAAACATGTTCATTTTAGAACTGATGAAATATAGTATCTGTGGAATAAATTCTATGAAATAATGTGAGGTCAAGATTGTGGTGAAGATGCCTTCCTACATGTTCAAGAGGAGACTGGAGTGTATTTTTGAGGCTACCAATTACCATTTTTATAGTGGATATATTTCTTCCCAAATATTGAAAATTTATGTCCAATTTTATGTTACTGCTACAAATCTTAAAATGCAACATTCTGACATGATCTCCAATCTTTTCACCTCCACTAAGGTTCTCATATTTTGAAATACTTTGATTCTAAGTAAACATCATTTGTTAAGCTAATATTTATTCATCTTCCATCAATTAAACATGTACTGTTCAGACTGAGGTAATATAATTCCAGTTAACGTAAAAAAAAAAACAAACCACCGACATTTTACCTAGTCTGTATGGACATTGCTAGGGGGAAATGTAATTTTTCCATCAGGAAATCACCACTTAACCTCCAGTGCTACTTTCTCAGAGTCCAGAGACCCACAGAATCTGGATGGCAGGCACTGGTTCCTGGCTTCCTATATTAAGTCAAGAAAGGGCATTTAATCAACCCATCTTATGTTATTATGAGTTAGGCCATTTGCTTATACAATTATTCAACAGAGAACATTGTGTAAAGGAGTTCAGCACTGTGCAAGTCAATTCTACTCAAGTTTCTAAACTGAGAGCATAAAAATTCAATTGGGTCTTCTAGGTGGAACTGGAACAGAGTAGTGAAAAGAAAATGCTGTTTGTGGGGTTTAGAGCTCAGTACAGGGGTTAGGTCATTCACCTACACATCCCCTGAGCAGAGAGCTAAGTGAGTGGCCTGGAAAAGGCACTCCTAAATGTCTGTCACTATGTGAAAGGGAGCAAGGACATGGGCTCTTACTGTAGTCACTGGTGAGACCAAGGGTTGAACAGTGGTCCTCAGAACTTTCAGGACATCTTTTCTGTCACTGATTCAAGCTGTCTTGAGAGAAGATGAAAATTAGGAAAAATGGAGTGCACACCAGGAAAACAACGGGCCCTCAGGAACCTGGCAGGGAAGAAACACTAATGCAGCTAGAATTCTCTTTACCTTTAGAAAGTTCCTCATACCAGTGACTGTCTCGACACGCCAGCCTAACATCTAACGGGGAATAACAAATCTACACACAAAAACTTTCACCACATCCCTAAGACACACTCTAAAAATTTTAAATGAGAGCGTGCACATGAAATCTCAAGTGACAATGGCATTATAACTTGAGAAAAAAAGAAGTGGTGACAAGGAGGTAAGAATTTCTTTATTTTCTTCCTACAAAAATCATGTAAACATTAGCATAGACTTCTCATTACCCCCAAATTCAAAACCATTATGACACATTAACCTTAAGTTTAAAATAAACAGTCAGGAAGAATAAAACCAGGTATCAGATAAACACAGACAGTTTGGGTTGTCTTGACTGGTTTGGTAAATCTTTCCTTCTGAAGGCTTAGTGGGATCTGTTGAGGAGGGACTGAGCACACTCCACCACTGGAACAGAGAACAACAGAGGTTCGGTGGACTTTAGCAGTTTCAACAAACATCACATTGTGGCACACCCTCTCTCCCCCCAGCTGCCCTGAAAAAAAGGACAGGATTAATTACTCTGAGCTCAAGTTCCAGCAATGGCAGTCTCCCCTTTCCCTCCAGACGCAAGGTTGGGGCATTATCCACAGGCTTGAGAGAAGGAAGTACAAGTCCTCTAAATCATAAAGTGGATACACTAGACTCAGGTCTTCCTTGTATCAGAAAAAAAGCCACAGACACACGGCCACACAGACTGGAGAAGAGGTGAAAATCTTTGCAACTGCCTCTCCTCCTGTTGAGGATGTTTTCAAGAATACAGCCCAACTAATTCTATGTCCTAATAGATTTTTGGAGTGGGATAGCTTAATCAATGTTTGGTTTCTAAAGCAATATATATTGGTAAGAAGTACCTGGTATAGCAATCATGGAGCTTGGTTAGATCTCCTTTTCAATGTCCCTTTTAAATACCGATTTGGGTATACCTGCTATAAATGTCACTTTAGCCAACAAGAACAGAGATAAATCTCTCAGAGAGAATTTAATGTACTCTGTTGGTAACTATTCACTCGTGATGAAGAATAAGCTATACCAGCAACCTGGTAGAGAATGAGGTTAGGCAGGGCCTTTGCTCTACTGAATCCTGACAGAGATGACAGTTAAGTCCCCTTTCATAATGAGCTCCTGGAGGCCGAGATGGCATGCCCTAACCTTGGAACATCTGTTAGCTCATCTGAAAAAGGACTAAAATATGTAAATCAACTAGCATATCATGTAACATACATATGTGCTCCACAAATGTCTCCTCATCAACTATAATAATAGTGGACATTTACTAAGCACCAACTATGTGCCAGACCCTGTATTCGGTGCTTTATATAAATTATCCCCTGGTAGGTGCTACTAGCTCATTTTCAAGAGCATTAACTAAGGTTCCAAAATTCAGTTTACTCAGACAATATCAAAATGTTAGCTAGGGGTGTGGCTAGCATTTGAACCCAGCTTGTCTGATTTAAAATCCCATCTCTTTCCATTACTTCACGTTGTCTCCTGAAACTGTTACTGTACCTTTGCGTGAGCCAGAGAGTGAAAAGCAAGTGAATTATATTAAAAACCTAAGAACTCTAAATTAAAAATGTCCTGTCATGCCTTGGTAGACTAAAGAAGGAGGGGTAAGCAAAATGAAATACAAATGTAAACCTCAAATGAAAGAATAAAAACGTGCTGTTAAAGATCTCAGAGTAATACAATTATTTAGATGTCTGATTTTCCCTCCCCCAGAGGGCATTTAAGGAGATACTAATCATGTTCTTTCTACCTTCCTCACTCCTCAAGATTGGACATTAGTTCGATCTGCTTAAGCAGCTCCAGCACCCAGAATGCACCTAGTCAGGATTTATTCGTGGAAACCCCTCAACAGCAAGAAAGGCAGCTAGGTAGACTGCCTAGTCACTACTCCTGCTCGGCACCAAGGGCCAAGTGTTAGCTTCTGTGTCCTGGAATATTAGGTTGGGTGGTCTTGTTACCTGCATTTTATGATTTGTCTACCACACAAACCATTGTATATTTTAAAGAACTGTTCACTTAGAGACTGGATAGAGAGGAAGAATATGGGGATGGAAAACATAAATGAAATATAATTGTGAATGCCTAACCAAAGCATAGAATGGGTTGGAAAGAAAATTTTAGGGCCAGCAGAAATAAAGCCAGACTCCTTGTGCTTTGGAAGATGATTAAAAATCAATTTGTCAATAACAAGTGACTGCCTTCAAGTGCTTTATCCCTTTATCCTCTCAATCTCTATACCAACAAAAATGGCCAAGGCCCCATTTTTCTTTTCCAATACTGGTAACAGAAGTTTGGACCATCTACTATAGCTCTTTATGAATATGATGTGACTCCTATTAGCTTTTCTTGACAGTAAACCGGAATTTCAGTAGTATGTTTAGGATTATTCTGGAAACTGAGTAAGTACTTTTATGATAAAATTCTACTCTCAGCTGAGACAGACTGGTATCAGCTTTCCCTGTAACCCCTGGAAGACATAATTATTCATGTTGCTGTCAGTTTTAAACGAACACGATTGCAAATAAAGGATAGAGCCCCTGATAAAGCCTAAACCTAATCATTTTCCATCACTCCAGTTTTATTTCGATTTTATGTGCCTACATGAAGATACACTTAAACAACATATATTTATATATGTAAAACATAGATGATATGGGAGTTTCTGACAAATGACTTAATAAAACTTTATTAACTATATAACCTTTCAATACCAGAGAAACATCAATATGTACAAATCAGCATGAAGTTCCCAGCTCTCACACTCTGGTTATATGAATATGCCTTGAGCACCACAGAACAAACATTAATCCTAATTTAAAAAGAAAAATAATCCCAACAAACCAAAAAAACCCTTCAACTCTCTTGAATCTGTCTTCTTTACACCATACATAGAAAACTCTCTTTTATTGTATTTCCTTCCATCTTGGTCAGCTTCCAAAAGAAGTATCAAGAAAAAGTGACAGGAGGGAAAGGACAGCAAACCACTGTAGGTAAAAGTGATGTCTCAAAAGAACTACTTCTGGAAATTCTTCTTTTTTAAATACGAAATTGTTTTAACCTGGAAGATTTCCATTATGCAACAGGTATGAAAAATTGAAATAGAAAAAAAAAAGAATAAGCCCAGCCCTTAATTTTCAAAATTCAAAAACTCAAAAATTGCAATCGCAACAAGAGTTGGGGTAAAAGGCACCCAGCGCAATCCTTCGCAAACTCACTTAAAGAGCTTCCTGGCTTACAACTCATGCCCTGGAATCACTGCATTTGCTAACTGTAGAGGCAACTGGTATAAAATAAAGGCATCAAAGACAGACCTGACGGGACCGTGCGGTCCTTCATGGGATTTCACGTGAACTCGGATGGGCGAAAGAAAGAAAAATCAAAGACTGAAGACGGAGACAGAAGAAAAGAAAACACACCGAGGATGGAGGGGATTTGATGTACAAACTGAAAAGCCCATATATGCAGAATGGATTGCGTCCTTGACTACAAATGTGGATTATATACACATTTAGATTACGTTAAATCAGTTCATATATTACACCTGACAATTCTAACAGAACATCTCTGGTGTGAGGCAGAAGGAGGTGCCATTGTCTCGGCTCCTTAGGGCCCTGTCCTTTTCCCAGGCTGGTCGGAGGCCTCTGCACACGAGTCCACAGCATGGTATATGAACGGGTAAAGCTTGATATCCGGTCCGGGGGTGGAGCAGTGTCTGCACTCTTCATTGTAATACCGCAGCAACAGCTTATACACTTCTCCTGGAGAGGCAAACCAATGTATACGTTAAGGTATACAGACGGAAAAAATTAGAAGAAAATACTCTAGATTTATCTTAATCTAAACAGCATATGCTCAAATCTGGCTTTTGAAAACATAGCATGAATTGCATATGCTTGGACGGATTCCCTGACATAAAACTAAGTTATTTTAAAAATGCTCCTAAAAAGCTACTTAATAGCTCATGATTAGAATGGGCTATACACATGGTGCCTGGACTCGTTCTGGGAGTTTGTGGCAATCCTAAGGATACATTCAGCTCCCTAGGTAGCAAGGCCTTTCAAGTTCAGCTGAAACACCCTGTATGAGCATGCTGGCATGTCTGATAAATACGACTCAGCGTGAGGCCTCTTAAGTTTTAATTTACCCTCACTGTCTTCCCCCTTTTTGTTTTCTGTATACACCAACGTAGAAACTCCAGGTTCTTTGCCTTATTTTAATGAGCTGACATACTCATTCAAGATAGCGGATGGAATTGTGCCAGAGTAGAGAAACAGGCCTCTGCAGCTGTTTACCCTCCAAGAGCTTTGCCCTCCCCTCTCAAAGTCACTCTTCCCGTTTCTTCTGATCCACGTGATCCATCCAGATTGAGCAGGTGCTCCTCCTGGATGGTGCACAATCCATCCAGATACAAATGTCAGGACGATCTCCTACTTACCAACAGTCAGTTTCCTCTCAGTAAGGAAAGTGTGCATGCTGTAAATGTCTCTCATCAATTCTGCGTCCCCAAAGGTGAAATAAACCACATCTCGTTCAGCTGCAGCAGCTGCCAGTATCTGTATTAAGGCTGTTGCAAAGAGAAAAGACAAAGCTATATATGACACTTCCCATCAAGATACCTTTAGCTCCTTCCTGGTGTGCCAACAGTTTTATCCTTGATTAAAGATTTATAAACCCAATATACACATTATTAGAAATGGCAAATACACGATAGGCATAAATCATCTAGTTGTGTGACTTTTCAGATATGCTGTTCAGAGTATCATTAAACTATGAAATTTCCATTCAGGTGCTCTTTCTGGGTCACAAATAAAGGAAGGTGCATTTGAGCACAATCAAGGCACTAAGGTGGTATTTTTTTTTCATTTATATTAATTTGGAATTAAAATTTTTGTGTTTGATTGATTTGTTTGCATTATTTTGTCTTACACGTAGTCAGTGGTCTTCTGTATCACAGGAGCTCCCTGATCCCCCTGACCAACGTACTTGGGAGGTTCTGATGCTCTCATGGACCCTACAGCTGCGCCCTCATCCCTCCTGCACTCCCACCTCCACCCCAGTCACTGCAGCACAGAGACAATGTGACTGAGGACACTATCCAGTAACTCCCTGGTATGCTGGATAGAAAAATGATTGAGAACCACTGTCCCCAAGAATCAAAGTTAAAAATCACTGAGCCTAAAGTATGTTTCCAAAAATGAAGTTCCTTTACAATCCAATCTTAATCTCAATATATAGGATTCATTCTAAATAACAATGACAAAACTGAACAGTTATAATAAATGCCCTTCTGCTAGTTACATTTCTTTTCCTTCATAAAGTGGAAAGTGGGAATCAAAAACATTACGGATGCTGTTTGTAGGGTTTTTGACTTTTAAGAGCAATGTTAATATTCTACATATTCAAAAAATATAAAGTATGAATGGGAATGGGGGAGGAACCTATAATTGAAAGCAAACTAAAACAAGTGAACCTAATTTTATTTCAAATGAATGACATAACTTCACTGAAGGGAAAGGAAGAAAGAACTAATCAAAGTAATTTACAAACAAAATATCTGATTGTATACCCTCAGTCATGGGCAAGGAGCAAAGAATTGCAAACAAATCCCCAACTCTTTTCACCAGGTTTATTGTGGCAGCACAGGCAAAGCCATTCTGGAACCATCTGTGAATACAGTAGAGGACTGTGCAAACGAGTGTGTTGTTGTTGGGGACCAGGATTCTCACTGCAGAAGAAGGGGCAGACAAACATGGGATGAGGAAAGACAAAGAAGGACTCTCGGGGGGAGGACTGAAACGCAAGGTGTTGGTGCGTACTCATGATACGGACATTTGTATGTGTGTGTATGTGTATATACGTATATGCCTTTCCTAGCTTTGTCTGCTGCAAGGGCTCCGTAGCAATGAGCACATCTAGCACCCACATCCTGGTTTCCAATGCATTCCCCACTAAAAGGAACTAAGTTCCTTGGGAAATGGCCGATTCAATGGTTGGGACAGGATAAGTAAAAGGGAGGTCCAGAGCACTTTGCTATACCATAAAGTAAAGAAGTGGTCAAAAACATGACAGAGGATAAATTGATGGGAGCTTGTCACAAGGATACAGCAGCGTACTTTGAAGGAGCACCCACTAGCCAAATTTGGGAAAAACTGAACAACAAAATGTTAAGTACAGTAATGAAATACAAACCACGGAAAATAAATGAAATCCCGAGTCCACAATGACAATACATAGATAAACAAATACAGGTAGAAGGGCGGGGGCTCTTGCTCACAGAACAGAGCCAAGGAATCACTAGCAAATGAGAGGGAGTGCTGGAGTGGAAACATCTTTCTGCAACCATCATAGTAAAGACTGGGTCAGGCAAAAATCATTAAGGGGTGCTCAGTCTAGGGGAAAAAGACCTTTTTTTAAAATTGTGCTTCAGGCGAAACTTTACAGAACAAAATCAGTTTCTCATTCAACAATTTATACAGAAATTGTCTTGTGACACTGGTTGCAATCCCCACAATGTGTCAACACTCTCCCTTTTCATACCCCAATTCCCTGTTTCCATCCGTCCATTTTCCTGTCCCTTCCTGCCTTCTCATCACTGCTTTTGGGCAGGTGTTGCCCTTTGGGTCTTCTACACATGAACTAAGAAGCAGTTCCTCACATGTGTTACTGTTTGTTTTACAGACCTGTCTAATCTTTGGTTGAAGGGCGAACTTCGGGAGTGGCTTCAGTTTTGAGTTAAAAGGGTATCTGGGGGCCACAGTCTCGGGGTTCTTCTGGTCTCTGTCAGATCAGTAAGTCTGGCCTTTTATTTCTTTTTTTGTGAATGTAAATTTTGTTCTACATTTTTCTCCTGCTCTGTCAGGGACCCCTATCGTGATCCTTATCAGAGCTGTTGGTGGTGGTATCCAGGCACCATCTAGTTCTTTTGGGCTCAGGCTGGTGGAGGCTGTGTTATTTGTGGTCGATTAGTCCTTTGGACTAATATTTCCCTGTGTCTTTGGTTTTCTTCATTCTCCTTTGCTCCAGATGAGATGGGACCAGTAGATGTATCATAGATGGCTACTCGCTAGTTTTAAGACCCCAGATGTCACTCACCAAAGTTGGATGTAGAACATTTTCTTTGTGAACTTTGTTATGCCAGTTGACCTAGATGGCCCCCATGACCACAGTCCCCAGCCCTCAGCCCTAGTAATTCAGTCCCTCAGGACGTTTGGATGTTGTCTAGGAAGCTTCTATGACTTTGCCTTGGTCCCATTGTGCTGACTTCCCCTATATTGTGTACTTTCCCTTCATCAAAGTTAACACTTATCTATTACCTAGTTGATGATTTCTCCTCCCTCGTAGCTATCAAATATTCTTTCTTTCTGTGTGTAAACTTTTTCTTCAGTTTTTATAATAGTGGTCTCATACATTATTTGTCCTTTTGTGATTGACTTATTTCACTCAGGATAATGCCTTCCAGATTCATCCCTGTTGTGAGGTATTTCACAAAGTCATCATTGTTCTTGACCACTGCGTAGTATTCCATTTAGTGTATGTACCATAGTTTATCCATTTACCTGTTGATGTGCACTTAGGTTGTTTCCATCTTTTTGCTACTGTGAATAAATTCTGCAACAAACATGGATGTGCACGTATATTCGTGGGATGGCTCTTATTTCTCTAGGATATATTCCTAGGAATGAGACTGCTGGATCATATGGTATTTCTATTTCTAGCTTTTTAAGGAAGCACCATATTGTTTCCTATAGTGGTTGTACCATTTTGTATTCCCACCAGCAGTGCATAAGAGTTCTAATCTCCCCACAACCTCTTTAAAACTTGTTTTTTTTTTTTTTTTTATATTAGTGCCAGTAATGTTGGGGTGAGACGGTATCTCAGTAGTTTTGATTAGCATTTCTCCAATGGCTAATTGGGAAGCCCCGGTGGTGCAGTGGTTAAGAGCTCAGGCTGCTAACGAAAAGTTCAGGAGTTCGAAGCCACCAGCCGCTCCTTGGAAACCCTATAGGGCAGTTCTACTCTGTCCTATAGGGTCGCTATGAGTCATAATTGACTTGACGGCAACAGGTTTGGTTTTTTTTTTTTTTTAATGGCTAATGACTGCGAGCATTTCCTCATGTCTCTGTTAGCCACCTGGATGTCTTCTTTGGTAAAGTGTCTGTTCATATCCTTCCCTCATTTTTTAATTGGATTATTTCTCTTTTTCATGTTGAGGTGCTACAGTATCTTGTAGATTTTAGAGGTTAGACCCTTGTCAGATACGTAGTAGCTAATTTTTTTCCCGTCTGCAGGTTCTCTTTTCACTCCTTTGGTGAGGTCTTTTGATAAGCGTAAGTGTTTCATTTTCAGGAGCGCCCGGTTATCTGGTCTATCTTCTGGTGTTTGTGCATTGTTGGTTACTGTTTGTATCCTATTTATGCCATATATTAGGGCCCCTATTGTTGTCCCTATTTTTTCTTCCATGATCTTTACATCTTTAGGTTTTATATTTAGGTCTCTGGTCCATTTTGAATTAGTTTTTGTGATGGTGGGAGGTATGGGTCCTGTTTCTTTTTTTTATGGATGGACATCCATTTATGCCAGCACCATTTGTTAAAGAGATTGTCTTTTTCCCATTTAATGGACTTCGGGCCTTTGTCAAAGATCAGTTGACTGTAAGGGATGGATTTATTTATGCCTGGCTCAATTCTGTTTCATTGGTCTATGTGACTCCTGTTGTACCAGTACCATGCTGTTTTGACTACTGTGGCTGTACAGTAGGTTCTGAAATCAGATAGTGTGAGGTCTCCTACTTTGTTCTTCTTTTTCAATAATGCATTACTTATCTAGGGCCCCTTTCCTCCCATAAAAAGTTAGTAATTAGTTTTTCCATCTCATTAATGAATGCTGTTGGTGTCTGGATCGGGATTGCAATATATCTGGAGATGGGTTTGGGCAGAAGATTCACAATGTTGAGTCTTCCTATCCATGAGCATTACGTTTTTCCACTTACGTAGGACTCTTGTTGGTTTCAGTAGTGTTTTGTAGTTTTCTTTGTATAGGTCCTTTACGTCCCTGGTAAGATGTATTCCTAAGCATGTTATTTTTTAACAGGCAATTATAAATGGTATAGTTTTCTTGATTTTCTTTTCAAAGTTCTCTTTGTTGGTGTACAGGGATACAACTGATTTTTGTATGTTGATTTTGTATCCTGCTACCATGCTTTATCTTTTTATTAGTTCCAGTAGTTGTCTTGTGGAATCTTTGGAGTTCTCTACGTATAGAATCACATCATCTAAGAAGAGTGATAGTTTTACTTCTTCTTTTCCAATCTGCATGTGCTCTGTTTCTTTTTTTGCCTTACTGCTCTAGCTAGGACTTCCAGCACACTGTTAATAGGAGGGGTGACAAAGGGCATCCTTGTCTTGTTCCCGTTCTCAGCGGGAATGCTTTTTCACAGCCTTTCTCCATTGAGAATGATGTTAGCGGTTGGTTTTGTATAGATGTCCTTTATTACGTTGAGGAATTTGCCTTCTATTCCTATTCTGCTTAGAGTTCTTATCAGGAATGGGTGTTGGATTTTATCAA